CCAAAGGTTTCACTTCAGTTTCACACAACAAAGAGGCAGGTGACCGAAACCGTTCTGATGGGGACCACAACGACCCATCAGACTCTTTCACAGTTGACCCCAAGGCCCCACTTAACAGGGTGGAGCTGAAGTAGCTTTATTCTTTGACACCTAGAGTATATATCTGCTGTACTCCCCACCACCAGTTAGAACTGAAGAAGCCTCTTGGATTAGAGGTGAAACGTCTTCTTTTAGAAAATTCACATCCAGTTGCCTAACAGAACTTTTTAAACTTGACCATGACCTGGATGACTGAGAATCTTCATAGACAGTGTGCATCCATATTTTTTTTTCTTGGGTGTCTCTTGAAGCAAGCACTGGCACGTCATTAAAAGGTGTACCACACAACCGGACCATCAACCAATCAGCAGCTTGAACCCTATACTGTACTGACTTCAGGATAAACCTGACATTGTATTACATTTTTGCGTTTATTATATTAATATTTATAAACTTTTTTGGGCCTAGAGCAGTTTTTATAACAGTATTATTGTCTTTTTTGGAATCCAGTTGCCAGCCTGATTGGATGGATTGGTGGGCCAGATTTGGCCTGCGGGCCATGCTTTGATAAACACTAGTTTAATTGATGGCTGACTTTGAATTTTCCAAAAAAAAAATGACCACAGTTTATTTTTTTGCTCTTCGAAAAAATTTAAAAAAAAGTCTAAATTGTGTTTTCTTTCTCGTTTACTATTTCTTTACGTGGTTTATTTATTTATTTATTTATTTGCTTTTTTCCATGAGTGTTTGCGGTTGCAGCTGTGGCTCAGTGGGTGGAATCGATTTATTCTTCATCTCGAAGCCTAAACCATGATTCTGGACCTGTGATGTATAATGATAACATTTTTCCAAGCAGTGTTAGTGTGATGAAAAGACTGAGAGATTGGTCAAGCTGTAGTGTAATGTCCCTTATTTGGCCATCAAGTTTTTCCGAAACTCCTGAAATGTATGTTGGTGGTGTCAAGTTACAGTAGGAGGAAACAAAGCTTGAAAAACAGCCTTTTGTTTCAGTTGACATGGCAACAGCTGCTAGGCGTTGACGTCTCTGGTCGCCCTAACTAAAATCATTAATGCATACTAATCTCATGCAAACATGAACATCCTATGCTGTCTTGTTTTGCCCTTCTCCCGTTTTTTCATCCTTTTATTTTGCCACCTGCAGCCCTGGGGGTAGGTGGGCAGATGAAGGAGGGATGCCAGGGTGGATTAACTGCCCTGTGTTGTTGCTGCTGTTCCCACATTCCAGCGAAGTGATTCCAGCCAACTGCATAGCCACCTTCACCCCCATTGTCCTCCCATCCTCTCATCCGTCCACGTTTCTAATTGTCCATCTCTGTGTGTTTGACCTCTGCGTCTCTGACTTTTACTGTCTCATCAGAGCCGTCAAACCTTGATTAACACAACCGTCATTAACACAAGGGCAGTGTGAACACGATGACTGACAATGCACCCGGACACAATGCTGTTAATAAATGTCCCATGTAAAATTGATATTGTACTGTCCTCTAGAGGCCAAGTCTTAGTTAAAAAACATCGGACATTGATGGATTTATTGTTGCTCAATTACTTAAAAATCAAAAATAAATTACGTCATCCTGATTTACCAATATTACACCAGCCATTGACCAGTCTACATTTTTTAATTTTTTAATTTTTGCTACAACTGTTATTTTAAAAATGTATTTTAATCTAATTACTTGGTTCTAAAATTATGGTAAGAGGCTCCCACTAGTGGTAAGTGTGGTTATCAGATAGCTGTCATAAGGAGCTGATATGTTTTTTCTGTTAAATGCTGTGTGTGTGCGTGTTTATTGTCTGTAATACTGATGGTACTTACAAATATAAATATTTAAAGAGATGGTACGCGGTGTAAAAAGCTTCAGTACCACCTAACTAAATCATTTCTTTTTAAAAAAAATCAGGTTCTATATTAAATAAAAAGTAAGTGAATATGCACTTTTGATGTCACTGATGTGACTGATGTTGTTTTTGTCTCTTTATCGCCCTCGTGTGTTTGTTTCCCTCAGGGTCGAGTGGAGGTTGAGGCCGGTAATGAGAACATGAAATTTGAGACCGGACCGTTCTCGTTCTACGGCGTCATGGCACTAAGTGCTTCTACGTTGGGTGAGTGTAAAAAAATCCCCTTTCTCCTCTTACATTACATTATTTATCTGCCAATGCGCTCTGACACATTAATATGTATGCTGCTATCTTGTGGCAGTTTACTAGAAAGCCATGTCATATTTTCGTGGCTATGATACGTGAAGCAATAAAAGAAAGGTAGACTTAAACAAAATGTAGTTAATTATAAGAGGTGAATGACACACAGAATTAAAATGTGTTGCTTTGTCAGTGGGAAGAAAAAATGTAAAAAAGTTATAAGTAAACGTGGGAATTTGTGTATAATTTATATATTTTTGTGCACAATATCTGCACAGAGTACGTAGTTATTACCCTCCAAAGTGCCTTTATTAACATTTAAACTTATCCTTTTAAATCCTCCCCAGGTTAGCTCTCGTGTGTGTTTGTAGTCATTCATCTTGTCTGGTGTTCTTCTCAGACTTCGTGTTTCTCAGTTGTACATCTGCTCTGTTTTCTGCTTTGCTCGTTTATAAATTATATATTGTTCTGACACTAAACGATGTTGGTTCATTCTGATGGCTACAGTCAGGATTTAAGGAGTGGCAAATTTGTGATGTTTTTACATTAAAAATAAATAGCAACAGAGCAAAGAATTTTCCCCATTGACTTCAAAAGAACTTGAAGAGCATTTTTTATTTAATTTATTTTTCATTTTTAAATTTAATTAAAAATAATTTAATTTAAAAATGAAAAATAAATTAAGTAAAAGATAAATAAAATGAATTCATTAAGAAGTTAGAAAGACTAAATCAAGATAAAAATAATTTAATTTAATTTAAAAATGAAAAATAAATTAAATAAAAAATAAATAAAAATTAATACATTAATAAGTTAGAAAGTATAAATCAAGACAAAATAATTTAATTTAAAAATGAAAAATAAATCAAATTAAAAATAAATAATTAATTTATTCAAAAGTTAGAAAGTATAAATCAAGATAAAAATAATTTAATTTAAAAATGAAAAATAAATTAAGTAAAAAATAAATTAGAATTCATACATTAATAGGTTATAAAGAATAAATCAAGATATGAATAATTCCATGTGACGTTATTTAGATTACTCTAAATATTTATACATTTTACAGAATTTTAGTTACAACATTAAAGAAGAAACCTAAATATTAATATACATTGGGAGTGTGTTTAATAATTCTTATATAAAATGGACTGTTTTAAGATTCTGTTTATAATAATCCACAGGTTATCGTCAGAAATGAAGAAATTGTTCATGTGACACAAACACGATTGACTTGAAAACACACGATATTAGGACAAAATGGGAGACAGATAGAAGTGTTTACAGATCCTTTCCAAAAAATTAGAATATCGTGAAAAAGTTGTTTAATTTCCATAATTCCATTCAGAAAGTTAAACTTTCATATATTCATAGATTCATGGGCCACAATTTAATCAATTTCAGGTATTTATTTGTTTATTTTTTACATAATTTTGGCTTCCAGCTCATAAAACCCACAAAAACAGGATTTCAATAAATTAGAATACTGTGAAGAAATCATCAGGGCAT